ACCGTCGTACCTAGTCTAAGTGCAGACGCACGCAAGATAGAAGACGCCGACGCTCGGCGTCACGGATCACGATAAATTATAATATCAATCGTGATGGATCCTCCATATCGCCCTCGTTCGAGCATGCCTTTTTTTCTTCGCTTCTCGTTCCATTCTGATCGTTGATGGATTCCGAGTGTACTTTGTGCAAATGGAAGGGCGTTTTCTATATTCGTACTTGTCAACATGTGAATGTGCTTGCCAGGCAGGTCAAAAGTGGCATCGCACTTTCGAAGTGGTTCGGTCAACGCAGCGATGGCAAGACCCAAGGGAGTGACAAGGATTCAAAGTCGGCCATGCCGTTTCCGATCTGGCGAACTTGGATAGAGACGATAACCACTCGGACCTGGGGTGAGGTACAGGTGGCGCTCTTAGTATCATTGTCCAAATACGCCGTTGGCGTCCAAAACATTGTGCCGCATCAAGGAGATATTTTTGCTCCTGAAAGCTTAATTTATATACATCAGCGATTGAATTATAATATTACTGTGAGCGACAAGTACGCGCTTGTATTAATCTTGCTACTAGTATGACGAAGCGGCTTCCTATTCATAAACATCATGGCATCTAGGTAGACAAACGAGGGGTCGCGTCTTCTGGTTTCTGGGTTCTTCGACGGGAGCCTATCCCCTACTTCCTGTTTCCTGATCCCGATTTCCCATCATCGATTTTTCTGGGCGTGCCTGACGATAAGGACGCAGAGAATGGAACGCGCACATGTTCTCTTGCAAAAGACTATCCAATACAGTTGGGAACATTCAAGCTCGAGTCCGGTTTGGCCCGAATGGTGACAATTGTAGCTGTCCATCGACGCCTCGAGGTCAACGCGTCTCGTTTCCCCTGTCGGACTCGGTGACGAAACTGCACAACAGATTTCTATGCGGATGACCGCCCGTGTCAGCCCAAGGGCTACCCCTGAGCGCCCATGAACTGATTAGACGATCGAGGCCAGTCATAGACATGGTGGCATCCATGCATGCCTCGAAGTTCCAAGTTCGTTTGTGCTCGTTCTGTTTGTTCGTTCGGGCTTGGATCAGAGCATGTCTCGTTTGTCCGAGTACGCCGCGGTGTCGCCGGCGTCAAGTTCAGAAAGAAGTGTGTACGGGCTCTGGTATTTCCTGACTGGATCTTCTCTACACATTCAGCCACGAGTCCTTGGCCAGCGGGCCACGATAGGAACGCCTTGGAGGTGGAAGTTGGGGCGGAAGGAAGAACGCCACATGCAGAATCGCTCAGGAGTAGGGGGTGACTTCTTCGCTACGATAAACAGCCGTCCCGGACGCGGTCGGTCATTCCTCTTTGTTTTAGGAACGCAAAACGGAGGCAAAGCAGGGCACAGACCGTGTCGGGGAGGGTATATAACCTGAGCCCTCCTCCCCTCCTCCGTTCTTCAGGCTCATTGCTTCGTCTGCCTTGCCATCCACCGCTCGCATTCTCTGCTTACTCGCTCGCCATTTTACCTGTTTCGATTTGAAAGAAGTCATGTTCGCTCGTGTTTTCAAATCCACTGTCATCGTGTCGGTCATCGCGTTCGTCGCGGTCGCGAGGGGTGTCCCTACCTCGACCAGCAACAGCCAATGCAACAACGGCAGCCTGCAATGCTGCAACAACATGATGAGTGTATGTCCCAGCCTACCTCCGACGCCCATGATCTGACGCGTTGATGGACGCTTTGTAGTCGACCACCGCCCAGGAGACAGGCCTCGGTGGTCTCCTCGGTCTCCTCGGTCTCAATTTGGGGAGCATCGTGGGTGATATTGGGTTGGAATGTACGCCGATTAACGTGATCGGTGTTGGGAGTGGGGCGAATTGTAACCAGCAGGCGGCGTGTTGCACCGGCGAGACGCAGGTAAGTCAAGTTCGGATGCGTCTCCGCGTCGATGGGTTTGACTGACGCGAACTTGATACCAGAACGGTTTGATCAATGTCGGGTGCAGCCCCATCAATTTGGGCTTGTGAGGGTGATACACAGTGCTTCTGGAGTCGTCTTGCGTACGGACAGTGTGTTGGCGTTGAGAAAGAAAAAAGAAAACCACATACATTTTGATAGTGATCGTCTTGTTATTTGGACTGCTAGTCTGAGCATGGTGTAATACGCATGTTTCGTGTGAGCTCATTGTGCAGCTGAGTGACCTAGTGCGTTGAGTTGTCTGAGTTTGTAATACGGTTGTTATGACCAAATTTTTTGACTCTCTGCCAGGCCCATGGCGGTGATGAGCAATCTCCTCCGCTACGTCGCCCCGCTCCACCTCCAACACCGCCGCATCACCCTGCGCCATGTCTTCATCACCCTCGGCATCTCCGCCGTCCTCTCCACTCTTTACTATGCTTGGCTCAGACGAGAAGAGGTCTTTTTCGGCTCGACGGACGTGCTTTTCTGGCCGCCAGAGACACCCGAAATTTGGGCCGAACGGGCAGCACAGGTCAAGGAAGCGTTCCGACATGCATATCGTGGCTACGAACAGCACGCGTTCCCGCACGACGAGCTTCTCCCCGTGTCCAACAAGAGCACCGACAAGTGAGTCCTCCTCCCGCCAACACACGAGGGTCGAGGGCATGTCGCCGTCGTTGACCTCGTGTGCCTAGTTTCAACGGATGGGGTGTTACCCCCATGGATTCCCTCGATACGATGCTCCTCATGGGGTTGCAGGACGAGTACACACGTGCGCTCCCAGTCATCAGTAATACCAATTTTTCATTGCCATCCGTGAGTCCTATCCTCCTCTTTCCCTCCCGCCGTTCCGTTCAGCACCCGTCCTTAGAATACCCATGTCCCCTTTTTCGAAACCGCCATTCGGTACCTCGGTGGATTGCTCTCTGCGTATGCGATGTCCGGTCACGATCTCTTGCGAGACAAGGCAGACGAACTGGGGACCAAGTTAGCACCTGCGTTCAATACCACCAGCGGATTTCCTGGTTACGCAGTCGATACCTACAGGCCAGCTCAATTGATGTTTCCGCTTCGAGGTCGTTCCTGAACGTATCGCTTTGTTCTTACAGTGGAAAGAATCTCACTTTTACTGCCGGCATTCTGGCGGAAATAGCGTCCTGTCAGCTGGAATACGCATACCTGGGCAAGATCACGGGGAAAAAGGAACACGTCGATCACGTTTGTGGTTTATTGTTGTTCCAACTCTGAGTTGGAACTAATACAGCTCTACAGGCGACCTTGATCACAGATATGTTGTATACTGCAAATCTCAATGGATCCGGAGGAATGTATCCCACGCGATGGAATCTCAATACAGGTGTTCCATCTGACCGTGAGTCGCTCGCTGCTTGCCCCCGCAAACGATCGACATACCACTGAGTAGACCACCTCTCCGTCGGTGCCCTTGCTGATAGCGGGCACGAATATACCCTCAAACAATTTCTACTGACCGCACGTACAGACAAGCGCAATCTAGAGATGTGTCCGTTTCCCGTACATACCTGTAACCACTGATACTGATGCTGATTCTCCGTCCTCACACACAGACCTCCGATTCACTTCGTACGTCATCAACAACCTGCTTTTCCTCACTCCCGAACGTCATCTCCTCTACGTCACCGACGCATTCATGTGGAAACGCGCGGTGACCCCCTCTCACCTCTTTGAACACCTCGCCTGCTTCTTCCCTGGCCTCCTCGCCCTCGGCGTACACCTCCTCCCCCTCAACCACCTCGATGTCCTTGGCATCAACGTCACCGCGCTCGCCGACGACATGTTACCCACTGACCGCTACGCCTTTAACGAGCTCGCCAAGTTTAACCTGGCGGACGTGCATTTATGGGCGGCGGAAGGGCTCGCGCAGACGTGTTATCTGACCTATGCGGATCAGCCGTCGGGGTTAGGCCCCGAGATCGTGCGGATGGACGTCGAAGAGTTGGGCTCAATAAGGTGGATGGATGCGATGCGTGCTTGGAAAGAGGGTCGAGATGGTCGCGGTGGGCGGTGGAGAAGAGCCCCGATGGGAGGGTTGGAAGATGCGCCCCCACCGGGCATTGGGGATATGAAACCGTGGACGAGTCCTTTGGATACAAACGTGACGGTCGAGGAGCTGGTGCGGCCCGGGCGGCGTAAAGGCAAGGCGAGTACATTTGGGAGGGACTATTTAATTCAAAACAAGGCCTATTACTTGCGGCCCGAGGTACGTGGCAGGAGGTTCCCGTGTGGTATCCGTGTTTGCCATGCTGATTGTTCTTCGTTTTGGTTGCGTAGACGGTCGAATCGTTTTATATCCTATGGCGAACGACCGGAGACGTGAAATGGCGCCATCGTGGTTGGCGCGTCTTCCAAGCCATCGAACGTTACACCAAGACCGCCTCGGGGTACACGAGTGTCGACAATGTCAACACCGCACATCCAACCCCGTTAGACGCGATGCCGAGGTGCGTCCCCTACTTTTTACGAGTTCGCGATCGCATGGTTTCTCAATGCCCCACTTCTAGTTACTTCTTGGCTGAAACGCTTAAATACCTCTATCTCTTGTTCTCGGACGAGGATCCTCTGCCCCTCAACAAATGGGTCTTCAACACCGAGGCACACCCGCTGCCCGTATTTGAATGGTCGGCGCAAGAGCGGGAGACGTATGGCATCGTGTGATTTGATCTATTGTATACTCGTACTGGACGTTAATTGCTGGCACCGTCGACCGGTGTCTTGGGTTATTGGGCGCGCTGATCTATTACTGCATCACCGTTTTTTTTTCAAATATATTTCCTTATTTCTCGATCGATCGATCTCTTGGACACGGTTTTGTGTCGTGCAGTTTGCGTGCAGTCGTTACAGTGCGTCACTCTGGGTGGTCGGAGGAATTTAGTCGCGTTGTAAGGAGCAGAATCGTCTCACACACGACGCATATTTACGTCCTCCAAGTTTACTCAGAGGTCCTAAAAAAGAGAAAGCATGAATACTTGTTCGTCCATGACATGAATATTCACCTTGCAAGGCACCAAACAAAACAATGTCGAAAAAAGTGTTCGGATACCGGGAGTCGAACCCGGGGCTGCTGTGATCAGAGGTTCTGACTTTGCCTTTCCTGAAAGACAGCCATGTTAGCCGTTACACCATATCCGACTTAAAATCTAGGTAGTGTCCATCTTTCTTAGCGTGCAAAATTCTGGGTACCACGACCCTTCTTCAAGTCGCATTTTGCGTTTTGGTTGTACAAGCATCCGACTCTGTTGAGTGGGCTTCCGTCTGGGGACATGATAAGCTCATTGGTCCTCACCGCTGCGCCCGAATCCGTGATTTGTGACCTACAAACGTTGACGTCATCATGTCAACCCGACGACCTCCAAATCCACTGCCACCAACAGGAACAAGTAACAACCAAACGTTACATCAATCTAGAGGGCCGACATACGGAGGAATACGAGAGAGCATGCAAAGTTAAACTCACTACCCCAAGCGTTCCTGCAGGGCGGTCTGTCATCGAACGACATATTAGCCAACTTGAACATAAGTACTGGCACCCTTTTCTTTCCCAATGCCCCAATACCCCATCCGAAGGGGTGGTATGCATGAAGGCAGTTCCAACATTGACCGAGGGTGAGGATTTGAGGCGCTGATCTGGCACAACTCTGATCTCTGGGATGTTTTGCAAAGTACCATCGTCGACGGCGCTACTAGTATGAAGACGTCATGGCTTTGCGTAGGCCCGGTTACGTGCCTCGAAATGCTTTTCCTCCCATAATATTAATTTCCTCAACCAGCTGTTCTTCGAAAGAGGTCCACAACACGTCGGATCGTTCTCAGCCCGGGGATAAGATCCACTTCTTTGGTCCACGACAAACTCCTTCAGGCAGGTGGTTTCGATCCCTCGTTTATCACAATCGTTAGTACCTTTTTTTCCGTGCCTTTTTGTCAGTGACTAGCAGGTAGGTTGTTCCTGCTCTCAGAATAGCACTCGAACTCCACTCACCCCTGGCAACGATCTTTTAGCCACTTTCAAGACATTTACAACTCCTAATGTCGGCGGCTTACCAGAAGCCCTACCCAAAATTCTGGCGAATTACCGCAAGCTGATAGGACGGAAGAATGTCCTCTCCATCATCCAGTCATCCGGCACGTGTACTTGTTTGCTCCGGCGCTCACCCATCCCAGTCAGCCCATTCTCACTGATGGCGCACGCCCACTCACACGCCGCTGGTCTAGATGCCGATTAGGAACATGGAAAAACGGCATGTACATTCTCACCCATTCAACCCTCTCACTCGCACTCATACATGTAACCCAGGGGTATACCCGGGTCGAGTGCGGGTGAGACTCCTGACCCTGGGGATATGCCAGCGCCGCTGTTAATGTCGTATGGTGCGTTTTTGAGTTACGTTGGGCGTTGAAGATTTTCGTCCTTAGCTAACGTCCTCAGCACGATCACTGCTGGCAACGTTCAATGTTCATTGGGCCATCACTCCCGGAGTTGCCATCAAGTGGTACAACCTCCTCCAGTGTGTTTGACTGGCTAGCACATACGGAGATCATATGATATGCCCGTACAGTGATTTCAAAATGCTTTGTAAGGGGAAGTACTGAGACATTCACAACAGTGGAAGAAGGCATTCTATGATTTTTTTTTTCGTGCGCCACTTTGTGATAGGTCGTGACGACACACACCTGGCGAGCATCAGCTAGCAAGGATAATCAAGTTGAGCTTGTAGGATGTCAGCATAAAAGAAAGTCCTGACGTATGTCATACAAGCGAGTTGCCAGTGGAGCATATCACTTTGCAGTGGAGCCTTCCGCGAGAGCTTGGACTGCACGAATGCATGGGATGTGGCTGGCTGGACACTACTACGCAGGTTGTGTGTCCCTCCTAGGATCGCTCATCGCAGTCGTGGGTAGAAGAAACCCACTGAGAGTCACCGCGGATATCTGCCGCCATGCCTGGGCCTGGACGTCCACGGCGGTGAATCTAGTGGATGTGACTGGTTGGGTTGAAGTGCGTGCAGAGGTGCCGAGCCGCCGGCGCGGACTGAAGTCCTATTGACACTTGGCTCCAGACTCACTGGGATCCATACCGCCAGCCAATGGGAGCCGTCGTGCTTGCTCGTTTGCCCGTTCTGGTGGTCGTCGTCCATTTTTCCTGCGACGACTGGCGTTCTTCGTACCAGGTTTGTTCTGGTTCATGCACACAGCCCGAGGGCAGCGCGTGTGGCCACTTCTCCTGTGCTGGCGGCGATCCGGGCACGCTCACCGAGGAACACAACACGCCGGTGCTCAAACTTTTCAAACCTCCGACAGGAATTGCCCCCACGGTCCAGGTTTGGCTGGACTCCCACTACAAGGTAGCCTACTCTCGAGGCTCGGGGATTCCAACTGCCCGGCGAACATCTGCGATTACATAAGCGAATATATCCTCTTCGCCGTCGAAGACGGTAAACGTATGGGCGCAACTGCATCCATAAGCAGAGATGTAGGCTGCCATTCTTGGGTATATACCCCCGGAAATCCCGGATCGCGGCAGAACTGCATGGGTTGGACCTGGCCTGGGCCAGGTCAAACCAGGGCTTTCATGCGAGGACAGGCCCCGCCAAGGCAGGGCGTTCAGAGGTCTGGCCCTATGATAACATAATTACTCCAACCGTCAGTTCCTTCTTTCCTCATATGTCCGCATCCTGCTACTCACGTCATGGTCGGGTCATGATGCATGATGGTCCGTATGTTATGGAATCCGTCTGTTACATTTGGCGTTGTGCTATCTTGGGAGATATGCCCGCACGGTAGAATTGAAAGCTATATAAACTGTCGGGCCCCAGTCGAGTGTTATCCCCAGAAGTATGTCGACCACTATTGTCTCTAACCATCTCGCGCTCGGTGATGAGGTCACCGAACCACCGCCAGTTCTCTCCACCTCATTCATCCCGCCACCTAAGCCCATTGCTCACCACGGTTTGCTTATCCAGGCGATCAACGCTGGAAAGTCTGTAGTCACTGTCGCCGGTGCCCAGGTGAAAAACCCATCCGTGAGTATTTGGAGGGCCTATCACTCGCACATATATACTCATCGTTTCCAGTCAAAGGATGATACCCCCGGCGAGTTTGTGGTGCAAGGCGTCATTAACCTCTGGGGAAACAAGGATATTACTGCAGAGTTCGACGTCTGGCACGGTTCTCCACCCCCAGGTGTCACTGTTGGATCCGCTGTGCCCTCCGTTCAGCGCGCTACTATCAAAGGCGTCATTAAACTCTCTCAGCTCATCCCGTCACTCAAAGAAACATTGCTCGGCCAGGATCTCAGTCTCCAAAATGTTTCTATATACCACCAGAACTACCTTTACGATCCGACCAAGAATGTTGGGTATGACCTCGAAGCCGATCTGGATATCAACTTGTCATTGGGATCGTTATCGTTGTCTTCTGTTTTATCAAAGATCTTGACCGTCAAAGAAACCACAGTGCATATCCACGCGAACCTCGGTCCCGATCAGACTTGGAATGGTGTTCCAAAGCTCAATACGTTGACCATCGAGGGTTCATTCGTCGGACACGTCTACACCCCTACCCCTGGT